GGGATATGCCGCGGATCAGCACCCTGGACGCGTCGAGAAGTGGCGATATGGTAGGGAATGAGCGAGTCTAGGCGGGCGACATGCGACCAAGAAGGACCTTTGGGCCGCAGCGAACGGCCTAAGAAGCATGCATGCTGCAACCGAAGTGGGGGCATGCAGCAGTTCTATGGCGGAGGTTGATCTCTTTCTACCCAGTAATCACCCTTGCTAATAGGTTTTCTGTAGTTGTCGGCGGAGCAATCTGAAACAGTATATATTGTAGTATGGTGTATGTCGCAATCTTTTTCTCGGTACAGTTGGCTGTAATACCAAATCACTATGTAGCTCAATGTAATCATTCAAAACGTTTGTACGTTTAGACGGCAGTCTTGGATAGATGTGTTCAGGTGCGGGGCATACCGTGTGACCGGTGAAGCTACACGGCAGATCGGTGGAGAGCGGCAGAATGGCACTATGCAAGCCATGCCTGTCACCAGCCATCAAGTGAGGCGTGTGAGGCATTAACGCGGTCATGGTGTGCCACTGGTAGATGTTTGCGACCGCTAGCTTTGTTGTGGTTGGGAGCTTTGCGCAGACGCGTCTGTGGGAGCAACATTGCGAACGCGCTGTAGGTATCGGATGTACCAAAACCACAAACAAAGACCTACCGCCTACTCCCAAGGCTGCATCGTGCATTCGACGCGACACAATGCGGTCACGATACTCTGATGGTGTTGACACTGAGTGACTGCCTTAGCCACAGACGCGCCTTCCGGCTAGCTATCGATAGCTTGGTCCAAAACAGCCTTCACCTTCAAAACAGACGCGCATAGCCGGCACCAATGCAAGCACGGCATTTGTTGTTGTTGTGGTCCTCGAATCGCGACTCTCCAGAGCAACGTCCAGAGCCCACTGTGCGCACTAACAGACGCGTCGTGCCTGACTTACGGGATGAGTAACAGCCCTGCACGCGACGGGATCGCTGACCGCCAGTCGTGACTGTTTAGCCACAGCTTCCAAGACCCGGATGCAGACACGATGCAAGACTAATGCAAGAGCCGCATACACTATCCCGTGCATGCTTCGAGCCGGTTGGTCAGGATGCGTGAAACGTTTCAAGCCGGCTCCAGGCTGCAGCCCCACTCGACCACTTGGTCGAATCGTCGCGTCTAACACCATATATACACGTCTACCCACCGCGAGATGGTCGCGTTTTCTGATCAATTCTTCGGCTGCTTTGCGTTAAGAGTTGGGAATCCGGTGGCGGGCTCGTTGGCATCTAGGGGAACGACCTTTGACTCACACCTGCAGCTCACGTGTAGTAGCGTTGGGCCCCGCTTTGCTACCATGCACCGCGCTGTGGTAAATACAGCTGGGGACGAGGTCGTGGCTGGTCCCGTCGGATTTTCTGTTTCCTGAGGTTTCGCTCTTACTCTTTCGAATGCTGGATGTTTGAAACGACTTTTACGATTTACTTGAGATTTACCACGAGATTGATACCTTGAAGAATAAACGACCTTTTTACGAACCAACACTATTGCATGCGACCAACTCGACCATTGCAACATGTACTCACAGCGATCGTCGCCACCGCCACTGAAGCGCTCACATTCGGGTGAGAGCCAAAACAGCTATGCCAGCGCTGCGACAACAGTATCGCGCGCAAGCTCCAAGTTACTGTTTGGAGAGATCCCATTGACACCTGCGACGACAGTAGATGGACGATGTAAGTACCCCGTCGCAATGCGCGCGCACTCATCCTAACGTCATGAAGCGATCCGTTCCAATGGCTCCATCTGCAACCTGGTCCTCTCCACAAGCTCAGTCTTCTTGCGCTTCTGGTTAAACGACGCCTGCCGCGATAACGTCCTGGATCACATGGAAACCGAAGACCTATCCAACTTCCGCCTTGTGTGCCATGACTTTTCATCGAAAGCCGCGCCACGACTCTTTGAGAAGATGACCGTGACCTTCAAGACATCCACCTTCTCCAAGCCAGCGCGCATTGAGGCACTATCAAGGATAGGCCGTCACGTCAAGACCTTCACCTTCCACATGCCACATGGCCCAGAGACCTGCTTGCCACCCATCATCGACCCGTGCACTGGCACAGAGAAGCAGTTCATCTACGAGCCCCAGGTGCAGACACCGCAACATGGACCGGCCAAAGACAAGGCACCCAAGTATGGCAGCTGGGAGATGCAGGACTTGCTCATCAAACAATACCCACCACTGTTCCATGCCGCGACTAATGTCCCTGCCTTTTGCGCCGCCTTCTCTGAACTGATCAACCTCACGCATCTCAAGGTCTCATGTCCGGGATCTACTGGCTCACTTCGACACCGACGAGGTGTAGTCGACTATGCGCTCATCTCTCTCCGTATCGCCATTGAGCGCGCTCCATTGTACAGCCTCTCTGCTCTTTCCCTCCACCCCATCCATCCTGGTGGCCTCCTATACCTCCACCCAATGCACGGCTTCGGCAGCACACCATCCTCAGCCAAGCGCTGGGGTCAAATCCGTCGCCTCTCAATCTGCATGGAAAGCATACCCTTCAACTCAAGCTCATCGCGCACCCGTGCCCAATCTCTAGAACACCTCCGCATCCTGCACGCCTACCTCGCCACACTCTCGCGCGGCCTAACGCGTGTCTTCTTCCGCTGGAAAGGCGAGCGAGGCCCTTCACCCCTCTCACTCGACCGTGAACCTTGCATGCTTCCCAGCCGAGAGGAGTCCACTCACCCCTCTCTCCGCGGCCAAACCAATGGTCCCCGCCCCCTGAAGTTCCCTCGCCTCCGCGTCATGGAACTGGAAAACGCGCTCATGGACTCCGCGCAAATCAGCGACTTCATCACAAAGCACAAGCGCTCCCTCCGCGAGTTCAACTTCGAAGACGTTAAGCTGCGCGAGGGCGACTGGGATCTCGCGCTTGAACCTCTAACTACCATCTCAGGGAGCGATCGATGGAAGCAGTACCAGGAAGAGGTCATGGATGTTCCCATTATGCTCTCGCCTATTGATGCCGAGCCGCGGGTCATGGGCCCGTTGCTTGAGGAAGTTGAGCAGGCGATCGAGGAAGTTAGTGGAAAGGAGAGGAGAGAACATGCGCTGTCGAGGTGGTTGGGTAGACCGCGACAGTCGAGTAAGAAAGATAGCTTCTGGGGTGGAGGCAAGAGGTTCCTGCATCTTTCGAGCTGGAAGGGCAGCTCGCCTGTCATGGTCAGGTGAAGTGGCTGTGCTTGTTTTCCTGGGTTCTTGTCTGGTACTAGGGAGTTTTGCTGTGGTATGTCACGGTTGATACCCCTCGGGCATGGTTTATGGCGTCTGCTTTCTGTCTTTATCGTTCTGGTTGTTGGGTTTCGGATAACGGCCTCTCATGTCCTCTCTTTTTGATTTCCTTTGTCTTGGCTTCCTCCCGCTCTTTACGACTCAACGTCTCCACGGCCTTTACGACTACTCCGAAAATCACGTTTGCGCATAGTTATGATGGTATGAGTAGAATAGTATGACCTTACGATCCTTCAATGATATTTCCTTCTGGTCCTCACCTTATGTTTGCGCGCACCGCATCGGTTCAGCGTGATTTGGATGTCTACGTGAAGATGAACCAACTACAGGGCTGTGCTCATATTCTGCCGTACCTGCAAGGTGTCCGCACATTTGTTTACAGGTCATGTCCGTGTCTAAAGCTCAGTGTATATAGCACGTGCAGACAACGTGGTGATTCGCATTCTTTTAGTTGTTGGTCACCCATGCATTAGAAATGTGGTTATTGAAGCAGAATCCGAGTATCGCGTAACACCCGCTTGAATTGGTATACATATTCGCCTTCAGCCTCGCATCTATAGCTTAGCCTTGTTCTGCACCTTCTTAAAGATAGGTTCCAGCTTCGTCGCGCTCATAACGTTTCCCTTGACCTTCAACTTTCCGCTCATAAACAGCTTCTGAGCATTCGCGTTGCCGGCCGCAAGCTTGCCAAAGTCCTCGTCGCTCAGCACCAGTGTGGCGGTAGCCTTCTTGCCCGCCGGAGCAGGACCCTTGCCGACCGTGCCGGTCTCCTTGAGATCAAGGTACCATGTTTCTTGTGCGCCGGCCTTGTTCTTAAGTGTGAAAGCGAAGATAGCCTTGCCGTTCTTGATGGCTTCTTTGCGGTCGGCGTCGGAAGCGGAAAGGGCTTGCGCGATCTCGTCGAAGGCGGCGGAGGCGGGGAATTCGTCTAGACATGTGTTAGTTACACTATTCTGAGGTTCCATAGGAGGGTTGGTAGGGTCGGCATGTGCATACCGTTCTTGAGAGACATGTTGGCGATGTGTTGCTAGAGTGGTGATGCGCTTCGATAGAGGTAGAGACTGATTGCGATGGTAGCTAGGCGGAAGAGGTTTGTGGAGTCGAAGTCGCGAGTGCAGAACAGTCTGGGGTATATAAGAGCTTCGGAGGCTTGTGACAGCAGTGATGATGTATGCAGCTGCGAATCTGGGGAAGCATGTGAATGAGTGAGTGGGCCGAGACCCTTGAAACGATCATGCCGAGGCATAACCGCTTTTGGATGGAGCACGTGGCCTAGTCCTTCGGCAGGGCTCGCATCTCTTTCCTCAAATTACTTCAAAGTTTAACGATCCCTAGCAGCGGACAACAACTTCAAGTTGCTAGGAAGTAAATTGAACTTATTCGCAGCGGCTTACTCTGTTGCATTTCGTCGCACCATTGCAGTCAATCTGTGTTTCCACGAAGTGCCATTGCTACGACCCTAATGGTTCTGGACGCTGGCGAGGTAGTTGCGGCGGATATCGAGACCAAGCAGCTTGCGGTGCATCGACTTTTGCATCTGACTCGAGTAATGCTGTTGCATGAAGGGGTCGGGATGTTTGCGCGTTATTGCGTCGCCGCCAAGCTGAACACGTGATGACGTGGAACAGTGGACGCGTCTCATGCGGGGATCTGAGACGCGTTCTCGCTCTCCTCTCATCTCATCATTCCGCCCGCTCAACATCAACCACAAGACTTGAGCATTAACTCACACCATGAAGAATGATCTTCATCAGACGTTCGGCGACATCTTCAACGGCGACCCATCCGCTTTCTGCAAGCAGTTATTGGAGGTCCAACATTTCGAAAGTGATCGAAGCGAGGCTGAAGAATGGGTAGCGAATTTGCGCTTTCTGGATATTTCCGGAGTTCCAGATCTACAGGCAGAGAAGCAGAAACAAGACCGCCGCTACGCATCAGCTAAGACTCGCGATCATTTCCACGAGCGAAAGATACCGTCATGCGAAGTCCCCATCACGAAGCGTGAAGAAGACGACGAAGACGCATACATTGCTGTCTCATGGAGATGGGCTGTGCTCAAACATGAGCCTGAAACCCCTGTATTCGATTATCGAATCAGGAGACCGGGTGCGAAGCCGCACAAGAGTGACTTTCCGGATGGCTACATGGATCGGGTAATACAATTCGCACAGAGCGTCAATGTGTCCAAAGTATGGATCGACAAGGAATGCATATATCAGAGAGCGGGGGACGAAAGAAAGTGGCCAAAAGACAAGGAACTGGGCGTTCAGATCATGGACGTAGTCTACGGCGACAGCAAAGTCTCGGTTGGCTTACTCACCGTGAAGCTTACGCGTCAACACGAAGTTGATCTTCTATCTGAACTCCTGCAGGGCCGCATTTTCGTCGACCCCAGAAACAGAGAAAATCCAAAGTTGAGACCCGAAGTCAATGTTCTAGCAGTACAAAGGCTGATTCAGCGCATTCTTAGCGACCCTCGCTGGGATCGTGGCTGGATCTTCCAAGAAGATCACTTGGCTTCGAACAGGATGACCTTGCTCATACCGTGCGGTGCAAGTATTCGAAAAGATCGGGGCTATGACTTTGGTGATATCCTTGGGGATTTGAAGATCAAACTTAAGGATCTCCGACAAAATGCGACCATGTTTTGTTTGGCTCGTCCTGAGGAACGGCGGCCTAATACCGACATACTGAAAAAGCTCAAACAATACAACATCTGCAACAAGAGCTACAAACCGCTACAGGAAGACCATCTGTTGCGTTCCGGGAGCAATGGCGTTCGCGGTAATACTGGCGATGACAAGAACCATCGGCGCGGAAGCAACTACGAGATTTCAGCGTACCGAACGACTACGAATTGTGTGCTCGACGATATTTGCAGCCGCTCGTTGGAGAACGAGGAGGACAGAATCGCTATCCTTGCAAACGCTCTAAGATTTACTAAGCGCATAGATATCGGGAAAGGATCTCCGATAAATAAGCCAGACAAATACAGCCTCTCTGTAGCTCTGCTCGCACTCATACTGGTGAATGGGGAGATTTTGAAGAGTACGACATGGGAACCATCTGACCGTGCGCGTCTGCCCTGCGAAACTAACCTGATGCAGCACACGTTACAATCGTATCTCGCGGCATGTCAACACGAGTTTAGTGTCCCTAATCTGCGATTCCAGCAAACTTTTGTCGACCACTGTCGTCTCAAATCCCCAACTATCACGTCTCGTGGTCTTCAGACGGAAGGCTGGCTTTTCGAACTATTCCCTCGTGAGCGATCAAGAATACGAGCAGAGCAGCTCAGCCTCCGTCTCACCGATTCGGATCGAGAAGCTCTATCTGATCTAGGCCGAGGTCCAGTGCTTCGGGGTACGAAGCTCGACGAGGATGCACATACGGCATTGGATGCACTGATTCAGAAGTTGGAAGCACTATGGCCAGGTAGCAAGCTCGCCAGCTACATGCGCAGACAACTGTTTTTTTATGAACATCTGTCGCGATCAGATTTACCGCAGTCTACACTGTACGTACTAGACATGATGTTTGCACTCTACCAAGCTCTTCGCAATGATCAAGAGCTTCGTTTGGGGCGGCTAGCTTCAGCACCTTCGAACACAGAGCCAACTGCCATCTTCATCAAGCCGGAGCCAGATGGTTGGAGGACAGAGCAAGTAAGCCACTTGGACTCTGACGGAGCACCTTGCCTTGCAAAGGTTTTCACGAGCTGGGACCAATCACATAATTTTGAACGACTGGCAAGCTTGGAAGTCGGCGTAGAGTCCGGTATGGATTGCTTGCTGTATAGCGCTGGGTGGGTGAATGGAGTTTGGTACACGGAAGGTCAGTCAATGGGAAAATATGTCTTTCGTCTCGCGGGCATCACCCAAGAAAGACATGAGGTGGAAGATATAGCAGGCGATGGGAGAAGGAAGAGGAAGAGGAAGAGGAAGAGGGGAGATGACATCTAGTACATGCGATCTATCTCTTCGAGTGCTTGACAGTATCAAGTTCTGGCTTTGCGACACCGCAGGCTTTGTTCACCGTTTTCTTTACGATCATGCAAACAAGAAGCAAACTCGACGCATCATCTGTTTCTTCACGACCCTCCAAGAACTAACACCGGCCATTCAACCACAGCATGCCTTCGCTGACTGAAAAACTCGTCCTGAAAGTTTCTCTTACCCCGCTGACATACCTATTCACTCGCATCAACTCGGTCTTTCAATCGCAGCGCAGGGCATGGAAAGACTTCGCCGAAAATTGTCCGGATCCTGCTCTTGTATACCTGATTAATGGCCCTATGGAGGATACTGGAAGACTGCTGAACATGACACAAAACTTTCTGCGAAAGCTCATCGACTTGGCAGAGATCAAATTGAAGCAGGTAGAAACGGAAGCACAAATAGCCGGTGCAGAATGGCTCGACAACCCGACCGATCCCATGAAAAACGCCAGATTCCTCATGGCGAGAAAGATTCATAGCGCCTACTTCAAGCATATGAGGGAGGCTTGGGATGTTGGATTAAAAATCATTCCTGGAATACAGGCGAGATTTGACGATATGGAGGACACGCTCGAGAAGCTTGCTGTGCTCATACCAATCGAGGAGCTGGCGCTGCCACTTGGGCCGTTCGTAGTCAAGGCATTAGAGATCAACGACAGGATGTGGGTGTTTGCAATAAGGTTATTGGGCATCTTGCGGACGGTTGATATCCCCCTCGGTGTTGCGACTGTGGCTGTCAACGTCGAAAAGTACCCAGAAGCGGACAAACTTGCGCGAGCAAGATACAAATTTGGGGACTACTGAGTGTCAGAGGATAAGGAAGTGTTTGGTGCGTAAGCAAGAGCACCTTAGTTCGTTGCGAAGGTCTTAGATCTGGGTGTTGAATTCGTAACGGGCACTGATGAAGCCCGCTAGGTCGCTTGCGCTGTTTAGTCTATAAATCGCTCTGGTCTATGCCCATCCAATTCTATAAAGATTATATCCGCTCTCGTCACCTCGTCCAATACCCCGTCTTTTTTCTACAAACTCTCTTTCCAGAATTGTGAATGTCAACCCGCCGTCGCTCTTCGGACAGAGCTCTGGTTCGAAAGCGGCTTCAACAGTATCGGGAATGCCCTCAAATTTGCCCGTCATGCGCACTGTGACCATAAGCCAGAACACACCGTTCTGAGCCAGGAGATGCGCCGCACAATCACGTAGCCAGGCGGCATGTTCAGGAGCGTAGACCACGTCCGAAGCGATGAGAAGATCTGATGCTGATTTCATGTGTGTGGGAGGTTGGGCCCAGTCCAGTATTGCGGTCTCTACAGGTGGTGTGTCGTATGAGCTCGAAGGGAAATTCGTCTCGATGTTTGCGTTGCAATTCTTCAGAACCGCAGGGTGATAGTCGGTCGCCGTGATGCTGACGGGTCCAGCGCCGACCACAGGAAGTAATTTCGCGACTGCCAAGCTGACGAGACCAGTGCCTGCACCAAGCTCGATGATTGTCCGCTTCCCTGCAAGACTGTCTTCAGTCAGTCCAAAGTGCTCTGGCTCTGCGCACATCATGCTACTGAGTATGATGCTGGCACCCCAGGACTGAAGTCCGACTGCTGTATGATCTGTGCTCGACAGTGGCGCATCATTAAGCGTGACCTTAACTGAATCTCCAGATGATGTGGGGAAGCAGAAGTCTCGTGTAAGCGCCTCTTCCTCTTCATCGGCATTCTCGAATAGGCTTGAAAGAATGAAGCCGGCATCATCGACAAGTTTTTCCCGTACATCGTCATTGACCTCCATCTCTTCCGAGCGCGCGAGGAGCGAGTTTAGCCATTGGGTGGCGAAAGTGCGCTCGAATGGGTCTGCACGCAGAGCTGCTGTCACCTCTTCGGTTGTGACTTGGTTTTCATCATCCTCGCCTTCGTCTTGAGACGCGTAACCGGAATCCGCGGGTCCAGGGGGTGAGACGATAGATGTGTGCTCTCTTTTCGATGTCGGGTGTGAGATAGTCGTTGGAAGGCGTACAGGACAGTACAGCGTCTGTAGGTTCTTAAGAGCGGCGAAGATCTGATCTTCCGATGCCGATAGTAGCGAACGGATAGGAGGTAAACTGCTTGATGGTGGCAGACAACTGCCTGTAAGACTGACACTCATCTGACGCCTCGCTAACAAACGAACAGACCAAAGAACGCACACAGGGAAAAGGAATGTGGAGAGAAGAAGGAAAGAACTGGAGCAGACGTGGAGACAAGGGTTCAGTCAGAAAAATCAATCGGCCAAGGCAAGGGACAATTTGACGATACTTAGTTTAGCTTCACGCTCGGGCAAAGTCGTGACTTCTAGATCTTTTCACCGCCTGTCATTTGGCATCGTGGGCCTATGTTTGGATCGAGAAGGCAGGTGCACAGGATGAGCTTGCTTCGTCGGATTTGCACATTGCATGCTAAAATCGTAGTACCCGTCACACTCGACATGTACAAGACGACATGCGGCACTGCGAATGGGCCAGCCGGTACATCTAGGGGTAGTGATTTTTGCGTGGGATGGCTATTGCCACGTGGGTCGCTAAGCCGAGCCTCATCGACGCTAGACCACGGAAGGCATAGCTACCAGATCCAATGGTCAGAGACCCATCCTAGGAAACTTCGGTCAACACCGGCAAATACGAATTGTGCCGACGGAAATAGCCTTGAAACATCTTGGTATACTCTATCAGGAATCTCGCGCAACACGTCGATTGTAGCACTAGTGGCTTGGAACCGCCTTGTGGGCTGATGCCTAGGCTGCTCAGTCTCTTTACACGGCCCTTTACGATCGTGTTCTTTAGGTAGACAAACGATGGACAATCTTGCTATTTTCCGACAAAAACTCATTTCTCCACCATCTTCTCATCCATAGCCTCCGGTGGTGTATCCGTGCCCTCACCATCCACAACCATCGGCCCCTTACCCGGCTTCTTCCTCCCCGTGATGTCCATGTATATCGACTTGAATGTCCTTACACTTGTTTTTCTCCCCTCCCAAAGCGGATATAGCCCTACTGCGAAGCATGAGCAGAACATCCACAAAATGCCCACAACAACCCATCCAGTAAAGAACTTCTTGCTGAAAATATACGAAGAGCCGTACATGGGCATGGGCCACAGCACAAGGAAAGATATCGCCATGAAGAGCGTGAGCCAGCGCGCAATACGCGATGCTTTGAGTAATTTGGCTTGTTCCTCTTCGTCAGCTTCGATAGCTCGTCGTTGTTCACCGGGGATCTGTTCTAGATCGACGTTGGCGGCAAGAGCAAGATCGTGGTCGTCGCCTCTGCGGATAGCCTTCATGCTCTGCCAATCGTAATTCTGGGGTCCAAAAGCGTAGGTGAATACGGGAATGAAGACGATAGGGGAGAGGAGGGCGACAACGTTTCCTGCTAGCATAGGGTTGTTGGCGCCGGTAGTGAGCACAGTGAGTTCGCCGCTCTCTTTCTGGGCAGTGACGAGCCAAGCAATGAGGGAGCAGGCGAAGCCGAGAGGTGGTGTGAAGGTTGCTGCGACCCAGTTCATCTTCGACCACATCAGCGTCAGAGTGGCAGGCAGAACAGCGGACGAGATTATGACGCCCATGAGGAGATATAGGTAGCCCATACTGATGCCGATGTAGTAAAGCCCTGTACTCCAGGCTGCCATTGCGACAGCAAAGCCGACAACCATGGTGTGAGACATGTAGATGAGTTGCTTCCCTGTAGCTTTAGGGTGGACATAAGTCTATATTTCGTCAGCTCAACAACCCGTTTTCGTGACCAGTAGAGCCATGCTTACCTGGTAGAAGTCATAAGTGAAGATGGAAGAAACAGCAATCAGCTCAGCAGACATGGCGCTGGTCACGGCCATGAAGACGAGAAGCAAAACTGCAGCCGCTCCTCCCGAACCCATCAGGGCAACAGCGGCAGTGGGCAACACAAGCCCAGCCGTCACGTCAGCATCAGCCATGCGGTTAGGATAGCCGGGGAAAACAGGGTTGTTTTCTAGTGCGATAGCACTGAGTCCCATTGTGGTAGCGGCTAGCCATGGAATCGCGAACCAGGACAGACCACCAATGATGTATCCGGGAAGAGCATCGACGGGACTGGCAGCAATGGCTTTGTTGTAGTATCCGTTGTCGCAGAACACAGTACCGAAGTTGCCTACGATGTTGATCACGAAGAAGATTGCACCTTCTTTCGATCGCATGGTTAGGTAAGAGCCTCCGGCGTTTCCTTCAACCGGGTGATCCGTTGCGGCTTGTACCAGTAGATCGAAGACTTTCCCAGGGCTTCCTAGATTCTCGTTGGTCGCATATGCGGTGAAGGCAAACATCAAGAGAATGATCAGAATGACAACAGTGTGTGCTAGAGGTCATCTTAGCTACTTTCTGCTGCAAATGTAGAAGAGAGTAACTTACCGTAGTCAGTCAAGAAAGTGGCCTTGATGCCTCCAAACATGGTGTAAAGAACTACACCAACAGGTAACAGGAAGCAAGCAGCAGCAGTTGGCATGCCAGTGAGCTTGAGTAGGTCAGTACAGATATATCGTTTGCCGCGTTTGACGTACCGAAGTCACAACAGCGGAGCCTCCAGTCAACAACATCGAAGTGACAAGAATGTTGGTAAAGAGACCAAAGACCATGAAAACGACGTGCGTGACTGGACCGTATCTGGCTCAAATAACCTCAAGGAAGGTATGTGCATTAGGTGCTCTTCGTTTCAGCTCGATAGCAATCGTAGCAAATAGAATGATCTGCACAGTCGCTCCCGAGGCGTACCAGAAGGGACCAGATACTCCATATCGGTAGGCGACTGCGCTCGATTGGAGAAGTGTTGCCGCCCATGTCCAAGATGATACTACGGCTGACGCGACAAGTCCCGATTTTACTGTACGACCAGCTGTCGAGAACATCTCAGAGGTTTGGAGTTCATAGTTGTATCTCTTCAGCACGAATGTCGTCAAGATCATACCGAAGCTTTGCCGAGTTAGTAATGCCCATGTATGGGAGACGCAAGACCTACGAGAAGGCAAAGCCTAAACCAATCACAATGCCATAGCCAAAGCCTTGGCTTAGCGGCGGAGGTGTACTCATGCTGGGTGAGTTAAAGACACCTCAGGTGACGAGCAGTTGGCAAGTGGAAAGTGCGGTGCCAGAGGGATGCCGGAAGTTGGAATGTAATTAACCTTACTGCTTAGCTTCGCTTGGGAGATTTCGCAGAAAGCTTCGGTCATGATCTGCCGGCATACGACCTCTAGGAAAGGGCTTTAACCATGATAAAGCAAGAGCATTACCGTTCATCGGCCGGACGCGTAAGGCAGGTATAGCCAACCGTAGGGCTAGCGTGCATATTCGCGGATTATTATTAAAGGTGACAACGATCACATCACGACATCTGCATGGTTCTGCAGGCTTTCGTGGGGTTGGGCAATAGGAGGATGCACACCATGTGCGGAAACGATCTTCCAACCCCGGTATGGTCCGATAACGCGGCGGAACAATGTAGATAAGATGCGAACTCTTGTGTGGCATCTTTTACTCACAGCCAAGCCGCGACCAATCGCAGGCTTGCACGGCTTCGAGATCGTTGGGTTCAGGCAGCTGCTCGCGGTCGTCAAAGCGCGGCTGTATATCGCGTCGTTGAATGCACAGCATTGCGAGAGGTAAACGCTGCCGGTTTCGCAGCCTCCCAGCCATGAACGTCGAAACTACCGAGGCGGAGGATTGTAAACTCGATGGCAAGATGCAGGAAAGCCGTTGGAATACGGAAAAAGCATCTGTCCAGCGTCTCTTCCGTCAAGCTTCCAGCGGCAATCT